GAAACATGAAAGTTTCAATCTGTGTTTTCCTTGTTTATCCCGCTTTGGATAAGCATTTAGATATAATATTATTATGTATGTTCATAGAAGGCTTTAGTTATATTTGTTATAATCGTAAAATAAAGAAATATTTAAAACTAGCGATTTATATTCCCTTCGCTCTCGTGCGTCCCTAAGTACATTTTAAAGATTGTTGCCTAAGTTATAAATCCTTGTAATATCAGCTATCTTCCAGTAAAAGTCCCGTCAAAATCAGTCCAGCCGCTGCGGAGATTAGCGGGAACAAACATACTGAAAATTAAATAATGATGTTTTTCTCAAAAGTACTTTATTTAATTTCATATGCACTTAATAAAAAACTGTTATTTTAACAGTTTAATTTTGGTTATCTGTATAGATTATTTTACGTTATCGAAATTATGTACACAAGTTTATTTTTAACAGTAACCAAAATGATAAGTTTTACAAGTGTACTAATTTATGAAGTGTAATTGTTTTTAAATCATATTTTAAATTTATATACAAATATTGATAACAAAATGGCCTCCATTGATAATTTGTTTGAAGACATACACTTTTTAACGTTTAACGTATTGACAATACATACGAATACGTAGATATCTGTAAAACACTTAATACTGATACTTAATATCTTTTTATTTAATTTACATATTAACATTTAAATAAATATAATGCATTTTCAAAATTTAATCATTAATTGAAATGAACGCTTTAATGAATAATAATGTTAAATGGATATATGTATTATGAACTTATGAATTTCCCGTTCCGATAAGAAATAAAAGGTCACGTCAATAGTTCTTGTCACTTACACGCGGCAATAATACTTTAATTGTGTCTTCCACCGAGAACTGAGTGCCGTTATAATGTGAACATGTTTATTATGCTATTGGGTCTATTGCTACCGTCTTCGCACTTATCAAGCGCCGCATTCTTGATAACACTAGATAACGATGATAAAGGCCAACAGCGATATCTATATTCATTAGGCAAATATTCATAAGTGTATATTTATAAACAAATTTAATTATTTGCTATAGAAAAAAGGAATAAAGTGAAATGGACTACAATATTAAGGCACGGGCCTACCTTCAGTCACGGTTTACCGTAACAACTCACAGCATTTTGATTTTTTCTATTACGAAAAAGTAAGCTAGCATATTTTATGTTTGGCAAAATGACGATATGAGTAGCTGTTTAAAATTATGGAAACTTAATGGATTTATAATACAACCCAGTTTTATTTAACTTGCTATTAAGTACGCTTTTGCTCATGAAAAAAGAAGCTATCTAAATCTTTCTTTACTTGAATCTATTTCAGAATTTTTTCCTATAGCCTAAGCTCGACGAAGCGTAAAATCTATTATATTCTTGCATATCGATATCAATCGTTTTTATGATGTCCTCATAAACGTATCTTGGTAAGAGGTGAAATGAAATAACAAAATAATAAACTTTTTGCTAAACTAGATTAAAGTTTCTTAGAATTACAAATAGGCAAAGTATTATAGCCTTTTTAGCACTTTCTTCTGCCATTTAAAAAATAATAATTTGTGAGTTCTGCAATTCAAGTGGCCATTCCGCGCCAAATCATCATCAAAAATAAATATTTTTGATTTTCTTAATATTTTGGTATTTTTAGTACTCCTCAAAAGAGGATTCCTGGTAAATTTTGAGATTTTTTTGATCACTGGTTCAAAACCGCTCTTTTTTTGGTTTTTGTTCATACATTGCTTAATAATGGTCGAAATTCAACTTTTTTTTTTCAAAATTTTTGCTGTTGGATGGACATTTACAAAAAATAAATTAATATGTTTTTAATCGAGATTTTTGAATTTTAAGTTTTCAATCTTGTTTTTAAAACTGTGTCTATTCTTCGATTTTATTGAAAGTTTTCTATTTTAAATTTCTATCCATCATGCAACTTTAAAGCCCGGTTCGGTAGTGGGCCTTCCATAATTACTATTTTTTTCGTTTGAGCTGAAAAGTTGCGTGATGGATAGAAGTTTAAAATAGAAAATTTTCAAAGAAATTGAAGGATACACAGTTTTAAAAACACGATTGAAAACTTAAAATTCAAAAGTTCGATTTGAACATTTTAAATATTTTTTTTTATATATATTTTTTATGTAAAGGTAATCCAAAAACAAAAATTAAAAAATAATAATAATGGAACTTCGACATTATTAAAAAATTACTTATGAGAAAAAAAAAACAAAAAAGAGCGGTTTTGAACCAATGATCAAAAAAAATCTCAAAATTTACCAGAAAGCCTTTTTAAGGACTACTAAAAAATACCAATATATTAAGAATCAAAAATATATTTTTTTTTTGAAATCGTCCGATTTGGCGTGGAATGCCCCAAGTGCATGTTGTCATCTGCAGTCCGAGAGCAACCTTTTTTTTTTTTTAACGTCTCAATGGGGCGTCGCAGGATCGCTTACGCATTCAACTACGAGGCCCGACGGCAGGTCTGCCAAAGCAGACCACAACAACCACGGGGTTGCTCCAAGGTCCACTCTGCTATCAGAAAAGTACCAGGAGCAACCCGCATGGTACACCGCCCTCCGAAGAGGGCCACCTCCCACCGCCCACCGAAGTGGGCCACCTCCCTTTGCGTTTCTTGGCTTCGCGCCCGGTTGGGTTGCCGGGCACTACTGAGCCCCCCACCACGACAAAGTGAACGCACGTTGGGGGGGGTCCGAGAGCAACCTTTTTTTTTTGTTGACGCTGGGGAAACCCATCATGGGGACCCTACCGGCCGTCAATGGGTAGGGTACTGTGAGACTCCTACTCACTAAAACCCACAGCGGAACCCGTCGCCGCAGTGCAATGGGGTGTGCAGGATCACTTGCGCATTCACTATAACACCCCTGCGGGTCCGAGAGCAACCTTTTTTTTTTTTTTTATAGTTGGGAAATCCTATTACGGATACCACCCGACTTCCCCCGGGGTGGTTATGTGGAGACTCTCCGGCTAATGAGACCGGCATACCCACTAAAACCCAACTTTCCCCCTCTGCCGCCATGTGGGGCGCCACGGGATCGCTCTCGCATACAACCGCGACGCCCCGACGGTTGGCCGAAGCCACCAACCATGAGGCCGCCCCAAGCGGGACAACCCCATTATGGGAAGACTTACAACCCAAAAAAGTGAGGCCGCTCCTAAGTCCACTCTGCTGATCAGAGAAGTACCCGGAGCAGCCCCACACCACACAAACACCGCCCACCGAAGTGGGCCACCTCCAATCGGCTGCAGAGGACAGGGAGAGCGGCAACGAAACACCGACACTCCTCTTCCCCTGCAGCCCCACCGCGTCCGCCATCAAACGGTGGCGGCCCCGTCTAGGCCGCGGAAGGTAGGGAGAACGGCGCACCGAAATACCGGCACTCCTCTCCCGCCGCGGCCTACCCCTCCGCCGAATGCGGGCCTGCGACCACAGTCCCGCAATCGGCACCCATCATCCGGTTGTGGGACCAAGCGGTCCCACCACCGGTGGCCGCAACGTCTTCGGCTCGAGGCCTAGACGAGCGGCCCCATCCAAGCCATTTGGTCCGCGCCGGATTTCTCCGGTACCACCCGCCCCTCTAAGCGGGTGGCATGCCCCTATCCGCCACCTGGGGACGCGCCCGGTAGGAGTTGGCTTCTCCCCCGGGGTCCGAGAGCAACCTACTTTAAGATGATACAATCGAAAACATGTGTTAAATTACAAAACATTACGGTCATCGGAGGTTAGCTTTGCCACGTGTTAGATATTCACACACTGATCTTTTTAATGAGTCGCCTTTAGACGTAAATAATTGTTATCAATAACTATAATATTATAGAAGATTAAAATTATTTGCAAAATTTTAAATAAGTGACATACTTTTCAATTCTATTTTAAAATATAAACGTCATTAAATTTAATCGACGTGAAGTCGACAATCGATATACTATGGGCATAGTATATCGATTATCGACTTTACGTCGTACTATCGCTATGACGTAAACATTTTTAGCGTACATAATGCAAATTACACGATGCTAGGTAGGCACTTCGTGATACGATTAAGTTGCACTGATGCGCCGATTAAAGTCTTTATTAGAAGGAGGAAACTAAATAAAAATAGTATACCATAGACAATAGCATTATAATTATAACTTTCTTATTACAATTTAATTAGGTACATATGATGATTTTAATGTCCATGATTTGAAGTAGTTATAGCATATTCTCAGGCCCTAAGACCTTCATACGAAGAATTAATCGACTAGTTGTTTACTAAGATATCTCCAGTATCAACTACGTCATTGTATTTCAAAGGAGTCTTATTTCATATTTTTATTGAACTAATATAATTTTGTTTGTACAATTAGAACGCGCATCGACAGCATGATTTGATTTGACAATTTAATTTTGACTACACTTACTATACATATATTTAGAAGCGAAAAAGAAAAATGCGCCAAGTCACCGTCGGTCAATATATCAGTCTCGCTCTATTCTATTTACAAACACATTGCTCCGTTACCTTAGCTAGTTTTACTACTGGAATACAAACTACTAGCCATATAGAATACACCTAAATAACACCCTAAATATAAACGCTATGAATTGGTAATGTTGACAGTTAACACATACAAAAAATAATAAAAAAAACAATATAGCCACTTATGACCAATTTTATTTATTGTTCTAAGTACTAACGAAAAAAGTTAACATTGAAAATGAAAGACTGTGTATGTTTCTCAGAACATTTTATATGAAATACATGTTCGAAAACCTGTTACAACAAAAATACTTTTCAAGTCTTACTTGTTTATTAATTTCTTTTTATAAATTAACATTAAGGCCCTATCAGACAAATCATAAAAATGTGACTCTTTAAATATACTAAATCCTTTTAAATTATCTAAGTTGTAATTTTTTTTTCTTTAAATATTTATATGATATTGATATATTTACATGTAATTTTAAATTTACTTATTCGTTACAGGTTCACTTCTCCAAAAAGGCCACAGTCAGCAAAATGGTTAACGTAAGTATTTGTAATTTTCCTATAATTATATACTTGAATTGTTCTTAAATAACTATGACGACAATTTTTTTTCATTGTGACGGCAAATTATAAAGAAGACATCTATTAAAATAATATCCTGTACAATTAGATATATGATACGGGGGGAGGGGGGAGGGATAAGTTTATTTATCCACACCAAATATATAAAGCTGTATTTTTGCATTTATAATATTTACTAAAAAAAGTGTTATTTTGTTGTTTTGCTACAGGAATCAAACGGGAACTTATCTCCGCCACAGGAGTTAGAATCTTTTCTATCTCAAGATGAAAAGAAAGGACAAATAGTAGAAAGTAAAACGTGAGTATTTTAGATTACCTACCTAAAGATTTCTACGTATATTAATATTAAATAGAGCAACATTTCGGGCATTATTTAAAAAACTGTGTTGATCCATTACATAGACATCAACAACGTTGCTAAAAACTAAGTAAACTATGCTGATATTGCTTCATACTTGTTTTGTTGGCTTCTCGGTGATATATGGCCTCATTCCTATTATCTGTGAAAAGTCGCCCTATTAATGTGCCTTAATACAGGTATATGTTAATAAAACATGTTTTCAAATGTCATAACCTAGACCAGAACAGATTTCAATACCTAAATAATAAATATTAAAATGAATTGGTATAAGATTAATATAATGTCAATATATAAGTATGTACTCGGTTATGCACTATGTACACATATTAGAAATAAGAAAACAAACAACACATAAGTATTCATTTAAATGAGAAGGATCGGTGTTTGCCTACAATAGATAGATATATTGTAGTTTAGGGCAAAAGTAATACAGTGTTTATACGTCTATTAGGTTTTCAAACCTAAAACAAGTAGTTAAACCAATTTATCGAAGTATTTTGCATTAAATAAATAATTTAGTATAGGAAACATTGTGCTAAAATGTTTTAAAGATTAAATATTTGATTAAATATTTGAGACGATTCAATAACTAGAATTGTTGAGAGAGTAGTTAAGACTGCTACCCTGACTTTTAAAGATATTGTCATTAACAGTAGTACATATGTTTTAGGATTTTAAAACTATAATAACTATGTGAGTTTTTAAAACCTGATCTTCCTCGCGTAAGTAAATGTCAGTTATATACATATAATTAATAACCAATACAGTATTTACATGGACATTAGGCATTAAGCTGGATTGTATAACTTACTTACGTCCGCACTAGGCTTCGCACAGGAAATCCCTTAATCATGGAATAGATTTTATTTTATAACAATTTTTTTAAATTAATACATCAAAACAGTACTAACATAATTGCTTACATTTATAGATATAACTTGATCAAAGAAAAAGATGCAGAATCCGGAGACTTTGATCCATTCTCAGAAAGACAGTTGGAGAACCCCACTTCGTAAGTATTGCCTCTCTTACACACTACTTTCAGCCTAGAGCTACAGTTAATATATTATATTTATATATATTATAACAAATTATAAAACAAAATATATAACAGTGAGCTAAAGCACTGTGGATATTTTTTCAATTAATAGTAAGGCATTTGTATATACCTACTTGGAATCTACGTCAGAGACCAGTATTATATGCAGTACTTATTGTTTATAAATAGAAATAAGATGATTAATTAATTTATCCTGAAATACTTTGTTGAATAAATCTATAAATAAAGATCTTATTGTATATTGTAATAAATATATTAAAGAAGCATAGCGAAAATATTTTATAACAATTGCGAAATAAACGATATTTTAGCTAAACTAGCTATTTATTTATACCTTAATAATTTTCGTGTATATGAAGTGTCGTCAAAATATCATGACCACGATACAGTTAAATTATTAAGGAGTTCATTTTATTTATTACTTGGGACTCACCCTCGCTTCGCTCGGGTTCGTCCTTAGCTTGCTTCCCAATACAAACTCTCATCCCCATTTTCACCCCCTTGATGTATGATTTCCGGGGTAAAAAGTATCCTATGTCCGTCCCAGGGTGACAAACTATCTTCTTACCAAATTTCATCTAAACCGGTTCAGTAGATCCAGAGATTACCTACCTCCCACAACGTCACAAACTTACAAACTTAGCTCTTTATAATATTAGTATAGACAGATAAGTCAAAATATTTAATGTACCTAATATAAAAACCACTAGTAATATAATACAGTTTCTCGTTCAGACAACCCGTAATCCGTATTATATTGCAATACAAAAAGTATATTATTTTAATCATTTTTTCATATAATGTATTAAGCTACATCGCATTTGCAATTAAGCCGCAGGACTTCGCCTGAGGTATTGCGCAACAAATATTAGATATATTTAGCACATCCTTGCATTATTTACGTAAATAATTATATGTAAATATTCAAGTACAATAGATTACGTTGTACATCATAAACAGTCGAGTTAGATGAAGTATAGTCCGGGATACGGGATACAGGGTCGTGTAGTTATGAGTAATTAATGTGAGCAAATAGTTAACTATGGATGATATTAAAAATGACGTATTCATTCAATATACATAAAGCAAGAGATATTATTATTAGGAATTATATTATGCTTATATAACTGGAGATGTGTCTTTTTTTGGCCAAGTTTCGAAAGAAATTTTTTTAAGACGTAGGCAGGCACTTAGGTTGTAATATATTTTATTCGCTCGTTTTAATTAAGTAAAATTTGCAGGAACATGGACACGCTGACTCACTTACTGAAGGCTTCACTCGGCACCGGTATCCTTGCTATGCCCAAAGCCTTCAAAAGTGCTGGTCTCATTTCCGGCATCTTCTTTGCCATTTTGGTCGCCGTCGTCTGCACGCACTGCGCTTATATCCTCGTAAGTAACGGCGACGCCCATAAGTATAACCTACGCTCTTTGCATACATCAATATTAATTATTTGTGCACAAATCAGTCTGTGAAGTAGATGGGAACGCAACTAGAATATATTAGAAAATTAATTGTAGATAAATATACTTAGAGCAAAGTGCGCATTGCGATTTTTCTATTTGCAAATGCTAAATTGCGACATGTCAATATGCTTACATCGCAAATTTAATCACACATCACGCATCATCTTGCATAGCATTTTTGCGAATTCTCATAAACTTCATAACAAACAGCTTCTATGTACGACCGAGTACGCGTGTCTTTTTCCACCGGGTGTAATACTCACAACCCTCACTATGTATGGTGCCGTATAATACCGAGAATTAAATATATGTACTTACATATATCTTCCTCCCCTTACTGTATTTTAGAGATACTTCGTATAATATAACTCTAAAGTCTAGTACAAATAAATAAACATATTTAATGTACAATACTTCAATGGGTGCCCTTATATACTTTAGTATGTGCAAAACTCTGCTTGCTAAGATTTTACATAGTAGTAAGGTAGGTATTTAGTACGGACACATTATTTAAGATACAAATACTTGCTAGCGTTTACTAATGCTTAGTAGCTTTACACCAAATTTTAAATTTGTTTTCTCCTACAGATAAAGTGTGCTCATGTTCTATACAAAAAGACGCGGAAGACGGCAATGAGCTTTCCTGAAGTAGCCGAAGCAGCATTAGATAATGGACCACAAGGGCTGAGAAAGTGGGCTCATACTTTTAGGTGTGTGCAATATATTTTATCTATTTAGGTCATTCAATATACGTCGTACGAAGTTAATTTTGTTCTACGTAACACATGTACCTACACAATCACATTAAGAGTTATGCAAATAAAAATATTAACACAAGTAAAATACTGAGTTACAATTTTGTAAATTTCTATATATTTGATTTCATTTACAGAGTTTTCATCGTTGTGAGTCTATTTTTGACATACTTTGGAACTTGCTCCGTGTACACTGTCATTATCGCTAAAAATATAATGCAGGTAGGTAATATTTTTGCAATTTATTATTAATTAAAGAAGAATTTTATTTATTGTTTAAGTATTATGTGCAACGTTAAGAGGTGGCTAGAGGTAAAACAAGTAGTAAAATTTAATTAATGTACCTATACAATATCCATTGAGTTACATATATAATATCTATGTCGTAAATTAAGTAATGTAATAACATGCATACATTATTATGTATGTGTTATTGTAAATTTCCATTAAAAATAAATTTATGAGTATTGTCACAATATACATACGTACCATTGCCCACAGGTCGTTGTGTTCTACATGCCGGATAACAAGGACCTCGATATACGGTTATTTATTATCGCCCTACTTCTACCTCTCATCTTAATGGTTTGGATAAGAAACCTGAAATATTTAGCTCCCGTTTCTATGATAGCAAATTTTTTTATGGCCATCGGTCTGGGTATCACTTTCTACTTCCTAGTGGGCACCGGCGGACTCGACTTTGGCCAAGTAGTCGCTGTTCAACCACCGAGGGAATGGCCAGAATTCTTCTCCCTTACAATTTTCGCTATAGAAGCCATTGGTGTTGTTATGCCTTTGGAAAACTCGATGAAGACACCACGTTCGATGCTCGGTTTTTGCGGTGTACTCAATAAGGGCATGACTGGAGTGACTCTTATCTACATTTTACTAGGATTCCTCGGATATTTGCGCTACGGTAGCTTGGTCGAAGATTCGATTACACTCAATCTGGAACCACACCCTGGTGACCCAAAAATCAAGGAAGTGTGAGTATATTATTTATATACTATTATATATCTATATTCTATACATATAATAAAATTGTAACTTCGTCGAATTTGTACTTTAAATATTTTTAGAAAATCCTGTTTTTAAGAAGTCTGGTTCAGCATTTAGGATACTTTTTACTGCGGGAAAATATCTCATCTTTGAGAAATCTATACTAACCGCTAAAACGCACCTAGAGACGAACCCAAGCGAAGCGAGAATGAGTCGCTAGTTATATACATAAATCCCTACTAACATAAAATAAATTACTTATGAACTTAGGTATACGTATCTATTCTAAACTTAATTAAGGCCACCTATTTGACCAAATTAGAGTAAATAAAGTCAACAAAGTAGTGGTGTAGTTGTAGTGTAATTTTTATGTAACGGTAATTTAAATAATTATTACTATGCAACGCAATAAATATTAATTTTTATTATAAATTCATATGGGTGATTAATGGCTCCAGTGAATGAACGACTAAGGACTAGGTTAACTTTAACCTAACATTTAGCATTAGAGAATGGTTTTATATAGGTATATAAATTTTTGATTTAGTGTGTCCACTTGTAGTCTTAAAATATTTGTATATCAAATATAGCAAATATAACGCGCTGTTTTAATTTTGTGCATTATTTCAAAAAAGACAAAATCACCACACACAATTTGTATGAATAAATCTATTATTAGGCACCTACTTAGAATCTTAACTTCTCGTTTGGTTTTAGATTAACTGATTTGTATAATAAAAAAATTATATGTATCTACCTAATACAGATCAGACTCCCTGTTGAAAAACACCAATAGAATCCCATCAAAAGCGACAAAAGCCACATAGAAAGCAATAAATATTTATTTGTGTCTATATGGCTTTTGTCGCTTTTGATGGGATCCTATTGGAGTTTTTAAATAGGGCTACTTACTACTATATTTTTTAATTAAATTTTCTTCCTTTCTTCAGTGCTGTAGCTCTGTATGTTCTTTCACTGCAGCCTTTACCCTATTAGTTTTAATTTCACGTAATACAAAATATAGCTAATAAGTAAATAAATTATAACTATTTCTTTTCAGGCTTTCGCAAATCGTCAAAATTGCCATCGCAATCGCTGTCTACTGCACTTTCGGGCTTCAATTCTTTGTCTGCATCGAAATTATGTGGAATTCCATCAAGGAGAAATTCACAAAAAGGCCTGAGCTGGCCGACTACATAATGCGTACCATAATGGTCACCATGTGTGTCTTACTGGCTGTTGCCGTGCCCACCATTGGACCTTTCATGGGCGTCATCGGTGCATTCTGCTTTTCTATCCTGGGATTAATTGCTCCGGCGTTCATTGAAGTTATTACTTTTTGGGATATAGGCTTCGGGCCATACAAATATCTTATTTGGAAGAATATTCTGGTTCTGATGTTCGGTTTGTTCGCGCTAATCTTCGGTACCAAAGATGCTGTTATAAGTATAATACAAGAATATACGAAAATTCCTATTGATAATAAAAACTAAGACTAAATCTAGGTAATTATTTATGTGCTAATAAGGATTTATGTGTGATAGTTATCAAGCATAGCGAAATATAACTAATTACTTTGAAACATTTTTGCAATTGCAAACACGCTCTTATAGACAGTTCTCCAGCGCTGTTTCAAGTGGTGCTACAATATTTTTATTAATAAGAATTTTCCAGAATAAAAACTTTTTAAATTAAGAGCTTATGCGCGTGACAATTATAAGTGAATTTAGTATGAATCGAAGTACTTATTTAAAATTCAATTGCATTCCCAATGGTGGTATGAGATGTACAATTACCTGCTAAAATTGTTTGAGAATTTTGCTAAATGTGTGTGTTTGAGGCAGTTAAATGTGTTAATTAAATCACCAAATGTGCAATGAAATAACAATCTTTAATTTAATGTTGTAAACAAGCAAAGATGAGAAAGAAATATTGGTATTTTTACTAAATAGTATTTAAAATAAAACACTTTGGATTAAAAATGAATGAATACAAAGGTTACATTTAAAATATATTATGAAGGTATATTGTCTTGCCCGATATATATATACCCATTACCTAAGTTGCTTTTGATATTTTTTGAGAATAGTATTATTTTTGATCATCCAATAATTAACTCGAGAAGTTGTTCTTAGATAATCTCACAATCTGAATCATAAAAATATATTTATTAATAATCAGGTACTTACATGATTTATTTATTTCATTAATCATAAAAACATTGAAATGTTTGTACTTATGTGCTTCGTTATTACTTTTACGAGACGGCCTAAACACTTTAGATCAACTATCCATTGTATAATTTGCTGTGGGGAAATTTGAACAAATATCGAAGGATTTATACTTTATCAGAATTAAAATATTGTTTTCTTTTTGCATTTAATATTATTCTAGCGATAAACTAGAGAGACACTATTCAACTCTCATTTTCTACCATAGAATCAAATTAAATTAAGGAAACAAAAAATAATAATATTAGAAGAGGCCTTACATTGCATAGACTTAAGTAATCAAAAAATGTTCAATACTGTATACATTTTAAATAAAATTATCTTTTCGGATTTTTTCGCGAATTAGTATTCGCGTAAATCTAAGAAAGTATTATATTACTGTATACATACTGTTTGAAATAGTATAGATTTTTTAACTTATAAAAATCAGATATATTGAAATAATAAGATTCCTACAACTGATGTAACGAATATTCGCATATTTTTTGTCATTCGCTTTCATATTCAGAAGAAAGCATGCGAATGCTTGGCGAATTTACCTATTTGACAAACAAAAAGGAAATTATGTATGGAATGGATGGATATGGAATGATTGTACAACTGTGCTTTACTCATGTTTTTATATTTCTTTGTCACTTTTGAAGAGGTATCAGTTAAATTTGACAAATGCAATAGGCGCCGTGTGTCTAGACTTTTACGCCAACTAGTGGCAAACACCTGAATTTATTGGGATCATTTTTCAATAATGTCAACGTCAAGAAAAAAAATGTTTTTTTAATTTGATTACAATAAATATTTTTGAAGTAAATTTTTTACACATACCATAATTTTCACATCATAAACATTTGACACACTCGCTTGTGGTACAACTTTCGCATTTAAGACATTTTCACTTTTATTACTTTTTTCTACTACACCATAAACATGGTTGAAATTGATTTTTTTTACCTTTCTCATTATTCTGACCATGTACAATATTATTGATAACTAGTTGAAATCTATATTTTATATATTTTTTCTATTTTTATAAATATTCTGTGTTTACAAATGAATGTTTTGATCCAACTATCTACGGGAATAAAACACTAGGAGGACAAAAGTGCTGACCTCTACATTTCGCGCACGGTCCCCATAATACTAAGCTAACTTCAAATCCTTCGATCAACAATTATACTACTGTTGATCGAAGCTCAAACCACAAAAAAGCAGTCATTTGGACTGCCGACAGATGTGAAAACTTAAAATTATAAACAAATAGTTGTTTTTATACACATAACATTTTTGGATATTCAAAGTAATTGTTTGATCTTAAATTAAAATTTCTAAATTATAACCGTATATTTTTATCTGGTTTTGACATCTATCGGCACTCTGAATGTTAGTGTTAACACGTCACGTGACCATGTCGATGTCGACTTAGATGAATTTACTCCCTATACAAACTTGCCTATAGAAGTTTTCACTTCAATAAATTTTCGAATGAACTTTATGTGAATAACTTCCTTCATTTAACCTGAACCGATTCAGCTACGAAATGTTGGACCTGTTTGTTTAACATTTAAAGGTCAACATTCGCATTCGCAAATATTGGAGATGAATATTCGCATCCGCAAATGTGAAAAATCGAACATTCGTTACATCATTAATTCCTACATGACAATCTGTGTGTACTCGTATTACGGGGTCCAAAATAGTAGTGCCTTCATATTTAGGTAGGTAATGTTATATAATTATTATTTAATAGGTATATAAATTTTGTGAAATGTTGCTATTATATTTATATTGGCTATACACTCCGGTTTCGCATGGATCGAAATAAAATAAAATTGTTATTATATTATAGATATTAAAAAATACATTTAATTATATAAATACTTTTTGTGCCTACATCGAAGAAACTCAACAATCTAGTGAACAATGAAGTACTCGAAACGTGTTGTAAGTTTCTTAATTGGAATTACGTTATTTAAGTATGTGGTACAAACATATGTATTCATTCCCATTAGTAATTATAAATTAGGTATATAATATAACTCTAACCTGATGCTTAAAAATCAAAATAATTATGATAACACAATCTCTCACTCACTTGTACTTTGTAGGCAGAATGGACAGATAGACGCCTCAGAACACTTTGTTTTATAGAATGACATAAACCAATATAGTTCCTATATACGTATATGATACATTTAAATGATAAATCAGTGTATTGTTATAATTATTTTATGCCTGTAACGTATATTATAATATAATTTATTTTTAAGAAACAAAATCATTGTAATGTGTTTTATAAATACAAGTCACTTCCATTAAATTGAATTTTCATTTAATGCAACTGAAATTAATGTCTCCTAGTAAATAACTATTCACAAAACTACATTTATATTTGACATATAAATTTGTATGTAATACATTTATATTTAACTAGCATTGCCCGCGGCTCCGCCCGCGTTCAGATGACCAAAAACTAAATTCTTAGGTGTTACATATTAGTATACTCTTACATTGCAGTTTTTGTATTTTTCCTCAGAAATAAGATATTTTCCCGCGGTAAAAAGTATCCTAGGATCGCGCGCTACATCGCCCGGTTTATATAGCTTGAGCAGGCGGTCGAGCGATGCGGGGCAGAGGGGATGGACTCGCCGTAGGCATCTCAATGCTCGCCAAGCATTAAAAATGTTTCGCTACTAATTACTTCTAACAACGATATCTCAAAAACTATTCATCTGATTGATTTAGTGTAAAGAGCAATTTTAATCTGCATTAAATGACTAAGCTAACTAAAATATTCATTTGGATAAGGATTAATACCGAACTAAAGAAAATAACTTTGAAAATAACGTAATGTTTTTAATTAAAAATGTTAACATAAAAGTGGTTATTGTAAGTCAACCGTAAGAGATAGAGATATGCTATCGCGGACTTTTTTGTAGCATTTTTATAGATTTTGAATTCTCTAGTACATTACTTAACTGTATCTTTGCTAGTTTACGCGGCGTTCGCGTGGAAAGTTCCCATTTGGCGAGATTTTTTGCGACCTCTTCAACATTTGTCGCCGTATTTCAGCTAATTTACATAAAAGCATAATAAATTATATACCTAAACCTTCCTCAAGAATTACTCTTTCTATTGTTGAAAACCGTATAAAAATCCGTTCAGTAGTTTTCGAGTTTAACGCGTACAGACAGACAGGAGGACAGAAAGACGCGGCCGGGGGACTTATTTTTATAATAAGTATAGATATATAAAAGTCTTGTAAATAATATTATTATGTACCCAATACCTACTGGTTTTTAATTGTAAGTGCGGCATATATGGACCACCATAAGGATTTTTCCAAATAAAACTCCGAGTTTTAAAGAGTAATCAGCCCTTTTTTATTAAAAAGTTCAATAATTATTTAGTACCAAAAACGATTAATAAAATTCTTAAAAAACAATTAATATTTTTTAAAATATGTAATTTTTATGAACTTGCAAAAAGTGAACATAATCGTCGTATTATCTAAAATTAAATAATTATTAGCGCTTAGACTAATCATTAGTACATTTGCACACATAAAAGTCAATCGTATCATATACATGAGCCGATGGATTATAAGGTGCACATTGGACCCATTTCTCTCCATGAACATTTTCTCACTAACGATCAGGACTTTCATCGGTGCTCAATTGTCACTCTTATCAGAACTTTCAGGACATGATTCTTTATCTTTTGAGATCTTTCTTTTCTTCTGGGCTGTTTTCTTAGGCGCTTTCTTTTAAACAAATTTTGTTTCTTTTTCTTCAATTTATCAGTTTCTTCCTTCCTTTTTATCGATGTTACTAAATCTATGTTCCTGCGTCCCTGTATTCGACCAAATCCAGATTTTTTTACATTTTTAGAATATAACTAACATTGCCCTAGGCTCCACCCGCGTTCAGATGACCAAAAACCAAACTCTTAGGTTTTACATATTAGTATACTCTTACAATGGAGTTTTTGTATTTTTTCTCAGAAATAGATAATTTCCCGCGGTAAAAAGTATCCCATAAGTTGACCCGGATAACCAGCTATCATCATACCAAATTTCATTAAAATCTGTCCAGTGGTTTTTCTGTGTTGCGGTAACAGACAGACAGACAAAAATTCTAAAAACTATAGATTGGGCCTCTGTATCGATAATACCTAATGTTTGTTTCAATAATATTTTCCAAAAAATATTTAATGTACAGATTCGGCTTAGTTACAATTTTATTATACTCGTATGATCCTATTTT